TTATTTGGTGATATTTGTAACAACGAATAACGAAATATTGAAAGAAATTGTAAAACATTTTGCTGTTTATAAAGATATTTAATAAATAAACGATAAATTTCAAATTTAATAATTTATCTCACAATTATTTTGTTTGCCACTGTTAAAGATTTAATAATTTTTTGGTTTTACGCGATGATGCTTCTTTGCTACGTTAAACCGTTATGCCAAGGTAGATATTGTTTTGCATGGAACACTGCACTTGAAGTGGAAAAAATGATACCAAAATTCTCTCTGACTTTGCTTTCTTATCTATTTTTAAATATTATATTACATTTACCTGTTACTCTCTGCAAATATTTATAATTGTTTATTTTATTTTGTTACAGCACCTGGATATTGGCGATAACATGGATGGTGACATAGATATAATATTAATATAATACTTAAAAATAAATATATAATATATAAAAAAATCTATGTATGTATAAATTTATATATTTATAATAAATACAAAAAAATTAATATTTGTTTTACCTTTCTCTTTCATTGTCTCCTTTTTACTGCATATTCCTTCTGTTTAAACTTCTGTTTCATTATTCTCTATTTGCCTTTCTGTACATTAACTAGTTTTATTTCTTTTTCTTTTTTTTACATTATTTCTATTGTACATATTAATAAATATGTACATATTAATAAATATAAATTACAATTTTTTAAATATGAATTTCATTTTTTAATATTCGTAAATTTTTTTATTCTTTACATTGACATTTGTTTTTTACTTTATATATAATATTTAAATAAATATGAATTTGATTTAAATTAAATTTTTTTATCACTAATTTAATTAGGAAATCAATACCATAAAAGAAATTAAACGAATTACCTTTGACTTATCCAAGTAAGTAGAAAACTCATAACTAAAGTAACCTTCGTGGCAGAATATCTGGATGTAAAATTATTGATTTGTCTTGAAAAGATTGTGTAAAAAAATGATTATTTAAATTGATTAAAATTTATATTACTTTTGATATAAAATTAAAAACAATTGTAGAGAGATGAGAGAGAGAGAGAGAGAGAGAGAGTTGCAGATTAAAAAAAATTTAGATTATTAAACATATGTAATATTAAAAATTATGTAATTATTTATTATTAATTAATTATTACGAATAAATATTTAAAACTTAATACGTTAACTTTATTAAGGCACTTTATAAATTTCTGTTCCATTAATTCTGTTTCATTATACATATCTGTTTCATTATACATATGTATTATATATACACTGGTCCAAAAAATTAAAGGATCATCTGTTCTAGCTTCTAAAAATAGGCAAATTTCAAGATAGAACTTCGTCAAAAATGATCATATCGAGATGTTCAAAAAAGCATTTTACAGCTTGAAATCTCTACTTTCCAAATCGGTACTTGAGAAAACGATCCTACTGATCTTTCATGGAATTACACGGATAGAAAGGGAGATCCGACGAATCTCAAAATTTTTTTACAAACTTTGACAAGTTCCATGGCGTGGA